CCCAAGGGGGTCCCCCCCCGCCCCGTGTGTTCCCTGCCTCTCCCGGACGGCGCAGGGGGACCCACCCCTGTCACAACTCTCCAGGTCTCAGCTCCCGGCTCCCAACCTGCTTTTTCCCACGCTCCCACCGAGATCCGGGTGACGGGAACCCCTGTTTCAGGGGGTTGGGACAGTCCGGGTGTGACACGGCGGGTGGGGACCCGATGTCACTCTGGCCGGGCAGGAGGGACCCAAGGGGGGACAAGGACCCGACATGTCACCTCCTCCTCCTTCCGCTGGGTGGAAACCCTCCCCCGCGCCCGCCCGAAGCTAATTACAGCTAATTGCTAACTGCGGAATGAGCTTTAATTGCTCAGGCCAGGACGGCCCGTGTCCCCCCCCCTGGGGACACAAGGAGGTGTCCGGAGCCGGGACAGAACCTTGTGCGTCCTTTCCTGGGTGATGGGTGACACGGAGACCCCCGGGGTGTCCCCCCCAAACCCCGATGGGGTCACAGCTGCCCCAGCCTTGGGACCCCCGGGGTGTCACCCGGCATCTCCCACCTCGGGGACAGGATCTGACCCCCCCCCCAAAATCCAGGAGCTCAACCTGCCCCAGCGAGGGCAGAGCCTTGATAGGAATCACAGCTGCATTAATTAGGGGGTGGGTGATGAATGAGCTGCCGGGGTAGGACGGAGGGGGCTGGGGGGGAAGAGTCCCAGTTTGTGACCCCCCCCCCACCCCAGGCCCTGCCTGCAGAGGGGCCACAAGGCTGTGGGCAGCCCAAGCTTGGTTAATTAGGAAGCAATCTAATTACGAGGAGGGTGTGCTGATATCCCCAAACCCTGCAGCTCTCAGTGAGCCACGGGGGGTCACTGGGCCCCCCTTGTCCCCCCCTGTGCTGCTGGGGGCTGCAGGCAGGAGAGGGTCAGGCAGGGCTCCCTGCCCATCTTTGCCACGGTGCCTTTGCACCAAGGCAGGTCTGAAGAGATCCCCTGGGGGACACTGTCCATGGGCCACGTCCCATCCATGGGACACTGATCTCCTGGGTTCCCCCGAGGGTGACAGCACCCAGCTGGGAGAGGGCAGGACACCCATATTAATCCCCAGGGTGAAACACACACCAGTGCCACCATCCATGTCCCCCCTCCCAGGAAGGTCCTATCCCACTGTGCCCCCCTCACACCTGGGGGGGCTGGGGAGCCCCCCAGCTCCGTGCACAGCACCCATGGGTGCTCACCCACACGCTGGGGTGGGCAGATGAGAGACTCTCTGTGGCCAAACACCCAGGGAGGGCCGAGCAGTATCACAAACACATTTGTTCCACCCCAGCCCTCTCTTTGCATCTCTAATTGCTTGGTGTGCCCTTGAATTTGCATACAAGGCTTAAAATTGAATTAATTTTTGGCACTCGGCTGAGCCCGCACGAGGCAAATCCCTTCAGATTTTGCAGCCTTATCTCATTTGAGCATTTATCTAGTTAAGCTTAATGGGGAAGGAAGATGGGGAAATAAATAAATAAATCAGCTGCACTCATCTGAAGAGCTGCTGGTCCCCTGGGCACCCCTGGTGTGGCAAGACTCAGCAGCCAAAAAGGAGCATCAAGCAAAACAAGGGCATGACCCCCCCAAAAAACCACCCAGTCCCAGTCCTGATGGAGCCCCTGGGCCTTATGTTGAGGCTGAGTGGACTCAACGACCCAAATCTTCTAGGTTACAATGGTGTGATGGACACCTTGGAGGGTTCCTGCATCCCCGAACATCCCTGATCATCCCTGGGCATCCATGAGCATTGGCAATCATCCCTCAGCACCCCTGGGCATGCTTGAACATTCCTTGGCATCTCTGGGCACCCCTGAGCAACCCTGGGCATTTCTGAGCACCCCAAATCATTCCTCAGCACCCCTGGGTATCCCTGGGCATCCTTGAGCATTGGCAATCATCCCTCAGCACCCCTGGGCATCCCTGAACATTTCTTGGCATCTCTGGTCACTCCTGAGCATCCCTGAGCACCTCTGGGGGTTTCTGAGCACCCCATGGCATTTCTGAGCATCCCCAGTCATCCCTCAGCACCCCTGGGCATCCCTGAACATTCCTTGGCATCTCTGGGCATTTCTGAGCATCCCTGAGCACCCATGGGCATTTCTGAGCATCCCTGGGCATCCTTGAGCATTGCCAATCATCCCTCAGCACCCCTGGGCACGTCTGAACATTCTTTGGCATCTCTGGGCACCCCTGAGCAACCCTGGGCATTTCTGAGCATCCCTGGGCATCCTTGAGCATTGCCAATCATCCCTCAGCACCCCTGGGCATCCCTGGGCACCCCTCAGCATTCCTGGGCACCCCTGAGCATCCCTGGGCACCCTGGGCATCCCAGGGCTCTCTGCACAGCGCGGGAGCCTCACGTGTAGAGCGGCTGTAGCTGCAGGTGCGACGTCTTCTGAGGTGCCTGGTACCCATAGGAGTCAAATCCGCCAATGAAGTCGACTGGGGAGAGGGAGGAGAGCAGTGAGGTGAGCTGGGGAGGGCAGGGGGACACTTCCCTGCCTGCCCCCACCCCCACAGCACCCAGGGGACATGCAGCATCCCAGGTCATCACAGCTTCCCAGGGAAATGCAACCTCCTGGTCTGCGGTAGCATCTTGGATCACCACAGCATCGTGGATCACCACAGCACCCTGGGGACGTGCAGCATTCCAGATCCCAGCAGCATCCCAGGGAAATGTAGTGTCCTGGGGACACGCAGCACCCTAGGGTGCCACAGCATCCAGGCCATGGCAGCATCCCAGGGAAGCACAGCATCCTGGGTTGCAGCAACACCCCAGGTCACTACAGCATCCCAGGTCACCACAGCATTCCAGAAAAGGGACTGGGAGAAATGGAGGAAAGGATCTGATGTGCAGAGCTCCCTCGGGCTCTCCCTCCTCACCACAGCAGCCCTGTGCTGCTGCCTGGACAAAGTGGGGTGTCTGCAGAGTGGGCAGTTCAGGGGGATTCCAGGGGCTGACATCTGGGTTCTGGGCTGTCCTTTTGGGCAATTGCAGACACCAATGGATCCGTTTTCCTGGCTTCAATTTTCAGTGATTCCTCACCTTTGGGCACCTGACAAGCCCCCAGGCACTCTCCAGACCCCAGCCCTTCACCCTGGCTGGACACAGCATGAGTGGGGGGAGGCTGGGGGTACCCCAACATCTCCTGTGACCACCCCACGTGCCCCTGCTCCTTCCCCCAGCTGCTTGGCCAGGAGCAGGCACCACATGCAGCCAAACCAGGCTCTCCAAACCACTGTGGGAGCTGCAGCACAACCCATCTCGGAGCACAACCCCCATGAGGAGTGTCTGAAGGAGTAGAGGTTTATTCTGCAGAAAAGGAGGCTGAGGGGAGACCTTCTCACTCTCTGCAGCTGCCTGAAAGGAGGTTGGGGTGAGGTGCAAGTCGGTCTCTTCTCCCAAGGAGCAAGTGACAGAACAAGAGGAAATGGCCTCAGGTTGTGCCAGGGGAGGTTTAGATTGGATATCAGAAACATTTCTTCACTGAAAGGGTAAGTAAACACTGGCATAGGCTGCCCAGGGAAGGGGAGGTGCTTAAGAGGCACAGAGATGTGGTGCTGAGGGACGTGGTTGAAGCACCGGACTTGGCAGAGTTCATGTTTGGTAGAGTTAGGTTGTGGTTAGACTTGATGATCTTAGAGGTCTTTTCCAACCAGAACGATTCTGTAATTCTGTGTGATTCCTCAAACCCAACATCTTCATCCTCAGGAAGCCATGCTCAGGTAGGTTCCCACCCAGGTGTGCAAGAACCAGCAGGGAGCTGGCGGGGGGGGCAGATCTCCCAGTGCATTTATCTTCTCGACTTAACATTCAGCCAGCTCTTGGTTGTGATGCCATCCATCCCTTTCCAAATCTAATCACATATTCCATTAAAAAAAGATGCATTCAAACCGTGGGCTCGGGCAGCATTAATATTAAAAGTGTATTGAATGCAGGAGTTTGTTGGAATGCAAACACGCTCAGAACCGTCAGCGGGAGAGAAACCCTTTTGCCAGCTCCCTGGGTACAGAAACAAGTTATTCCCTCAGGCAGTGCCCAATTTCACGTGGAGATTTCCCTTTTCCACTGCAGAGGAGTGTGGAGGGGGGGGAATAACGTGGGGCTCCT